TACATATATATGTATTATGTATGTATGTGTATGTGTATATATGTATATATGTGTGTGTGTATGTGTGTGTATATCTGTATACCCCAAAACCATTACCCAATAGAGAAATGTTCAATAGGTATAAACAAAAAGCCCTCAAAAAATCATAAGCTATTAACAACTATATGAAAGAATACTGCAAATCACTAATACTAAAAGAATGCAAATCAAAACTCAGAGGTTTTATTTTACATTCAGCAAGTTGATAGGAATGACCAAAAAAAGACAGGCACATAAAAGTGTTGTTGAAAGAGCTGCAAATTGGTACAACCTTTCTGAAAAACAAAGTGGAATTATGCAAACAAAGTGCCTATAATGTCCATACACTTCAACAGAGAAGTTCTACTGTTAGACATACCCCAAGGAGATTACTAACAAAAATAAAGCTTCACATGTGCCAGAATGAAAACAAAGGTGTCCATTGATTGAGTCATGGCTAAACAAATTCTGGTGCATGAATATGATGAAATATTACACTGCAAAAATAATGAGCATGAATACACCAAGACATGTAAAGATAGAAAGTGATGGAAACATTTTTATTTATTTTGATTTATCAACAATCACTTCCATAAACTTTTGAGTTTTAAATTTTTCTCCCCCTCCCAACCTCCTTCCAGAAGATGGAGCACAATCTGATATAGGCTATACATATACATTCCTATTAAACATATTTTCACATTAGTCATGTTGTAAGGAGGAATTAGAACTAATCGAAGAAACCACAAGAAAGAGGACACAAAACAAAACAGAAGTAAAAAAAAGCAAATCATATGCTTTGATCTGTATTCAAACTCCATAGTTCTTTCTTTGGATGTGGATTGCATTTTCCATCATGAGACTTTTGGAGATGTCTTAAATCCTTGCATTGCTAAGAAGGGCTAAGTCTATCAAAGTTAGTCATTTCACAATGTGGCTGTTACTGTATACAACATTCTGCTTACTTTCAGTCCGTACAGGTCTTTCCAGGTTTTTCTGACGTCCACCTGCTCATCATTTCTTATGAGACAATAGTATTCCATTACATCCATATACCACAACTTGTTCGGCCATTCCCCAATTGATGGACATCCCCTCAACTGGAAACATTTCTTAAGCACCTACTATGTACTAGGCACTGTGTTAAGCTCTGGGGATAGAAAAAAAAAGGTAAAAAACAGTCCCTGACCCCAAGGAGCTTACAATCTAATGGCAACAGTTACAACCATTTCAATGTAAAAAACTAACTACAAAGTAATCAAAACCAACTGTTACAAAGTTAGAAAAACCAAAATTGGTTCCCAAAGAAGAGATCTGAAAAGACACAACTCTTTGCTTCTTAGCAGAGGTCATGGAACATGAGTGTGGAATTATGTTACTTATAATATCATTTTTTGATATATTGATCAATTTTGCTGAATTTTTTTTCCACTTTAAAAAAACGTATTATAAGGGATGACTTTCTGGAAGGGAGAAGTGGAGAGATACAGAAGGAAATCTAGGCAACATAAAAGCAAATGAAATCAATAAAAATCTAATATTTTAAAAGGTAGTTAGAAGGCACTTAATTAAATTTAGCACCAGGAAGGCAGTTACAGAAACAAAAATCTTTAGTTACCTTTAGATTATATCTTAGCCAATGGGCGAAATCTAGGTGATTTATACCTTACCATCATCCTACCCTGCAACTCAAGCCTGTATTTTCTTTCTATTGAAAGTGTAGATATAAAGACTTAAAGAGTTCTTTAAGAAAGAATAAGGGAATAGTTTAAAAGTTTTAGATTTTACTAATTTTGGCTATATGGTTCATCTTCAGGTTCAGATTTGCATTTTTGTCACTACCATTTTAAGCTAAAGTTCTCTAGAAAGTACTTTTCCAGTTGTCCTCAATCTATATGTGATATGGTATTCTATTATATAGTATGACAAATTTTTTAAACTAATGGACTCTGCCCATTCTATCCAGCATGTCTGGTGATAAAAATTTTGTTTGAAATAAAAATACTGCTTCTCGGTATATATACTGAGTTTACCTTTTCTTCGGCCCATCTAACAAAAAGCTTTCTTCAAATAAGTCATACAGTGGGTCCAATTAATTGAAATGTGAAACAAACTTCAAATCAGCTTTAGAAATATGAAGGATTTCATTCCATAATAACATAATAAGATAATTAAAGTAATATAAAACCATCAATTTCCACATGTCCCAAAAGCCATAGTGAAGTTTTGAACTATTAAAACTTAATAGCTTTTATATATTGCTATATAGATTTGGAGAGGTATTGTGGTGGAAAGGGCCCTGAGACTTGGATTCCTACATAGTCTGTGCTTCTGTCTAGTGGGACTTTTGATGTGGCCTAACCTCTCTGTGTAAAATGATTAATTGCGTAATTGTTGATCTTCCATGTCCTTCTGCCTCTAAATCTGATTTCTATGTCCCAACAACCAGACTGAGGGGACTGCTTATTTCTAGTAATATTAACTATCACAAATTGTAATACAGGTAAAAAAGGTAGATGGTTCTTGGAGTTTCTTCTAGAAAAAGCAGTTGCCTCATTAACTCTAGAGTGTGTTGAAGAAGCCATTATAAAATGGTGATAATCAGTAATAATAACAAATTAAAGGCCTTAGATCAGTAAGCAAAATCTTGTGACTCACCTTGGTGACCAAAGAGCTGTCACTAACCCTCTATCAAAAAATCAGGTAGGTAAGTATAAAGAGATCTAGTAATTGGTAGAAAGATTTGAGATACCTAATTTAGAACATTATAGTAGGTGGCAATGAAGATACATAAAAGACATGAAAACTTGCTAGGTTTCTCCCTTTAGGTAACTTGTAGTCTTATTGGGAACATCAAAAATATGCATAAGAAATAATTCAACACAAGGAATATATCGGAAATACACATGACTCATGCAAAATGGCAATGGTATAGAAGTGCTTAGAGAATACAAAATGATTTTATTTTGAGATAAGGTGCAAATTGCCATCATTGGAAATATATTTCCTGAAGAACAGTACTGTTGATTAGTATGATTTGCATTTTCTTTCAACATCAACAATAAAAGTTTATAAAAATTTGTTTTTGGTTTTTCATACTGATTCAATTTTGCTGATTTGATATTTTATTAAATTATTTTTCAATGGATGAGGAATAATTGGAAGATTGACATATACTAGTTTTTATACCAGCAATTCAAACAGAATGAAATATGGATATAGTTTGATATCCTAGTTCAAAAGGTTTAGAAAATTGAAGTTTAGTTTCCATAGGAGCTGTTTCATTCAGGCCTTTTTCAAAACAAAATTTAGTTCACTTTTTAAAAATTGGATTTGGTTTATGATTCATCAAATTTTCTTGGTTTTTTATTTTACGGTTGCAAAAGTTTATCCAAAATTGACTATTTTAATCATGGTAGCATCAGAATATCTTGTCTGGGACTGATAGTTATATTTATGTGTTCTACTTTACCTGAACATATTTTATAATCAAAACAATTTTCAGGTAATAGAGTTTAAATGTTTGCTGGAACATTTACAGAAGGTTAAAGAATCATAAGCCAAAGCTCAAAGTAGAGAAAAGGCAGTGGACTCAGAATCAAGACCTTGGTTTGAGCCCCGCCTATACTATTTTCCTTCCTGTATCACACCATTTACTCAAGATGTAGGATGTGGGACAAGTCACTTAATTTATCTAAGTGTATTTTTTCATGTGTGAAAAAGGGGATAATATCTGTTCTTCCTTGCTATGAGAATGCAATTTAATAACATTTGTAGAAATGTTTTATAAATTGTAAAGCACTATCTAAATGAAAGGCTTTTTTCTCAGCACAGTTAAATTTGTAAAAATTTATGTTAATTGCCTTCCTTTTTAAGGGTACTTTCCATCTACTCTGTATGTACCCATTTGTTAACATGTTGTTTCCCCCATTGACTCTCTCATATAAACTTCTTGAGGGTAGAAACTGTTTTTGCCTTTCTTTGTATCTCAGCATTTAGCATAGCACCTGGCACATTCTAAGCACTTAATTAATGCTAACTGCTCGATTGAAAAATGTGTTTGTTGAGCAGTAAAGCCTCTGACCAATAAATGCTTAATACTTTCAAAAAGTTTAGAAGACCATAACTGAGTATTTTTAAACTTAATTTCCTCATAACAGCCATATGCTGTTCTAATAGATACAACTGAAACCTATCAAATGGCTGGGGCCAAATTAGCTGCTTGTCACAGCAGTTGTCCCAAGCAGAACTTGTCATAACAGTTCTCTAAATCATAGAGGCTTCTTTGCTGGCAATCTGTTAGTATGTTTGTCTCCAGATGTTTAGAATTTCTTCCAGAGTTTGTAAATGGATTAGTACACCAATATGAACTTTAATAAGCTGGAAGAAATGGCAAACACTCCAGTATCTCTGCCAAGAAACCCCCAAACGGGGTCACAAAGAGTTGGACACAACTGAACAACAATACTTTACTAAGAGACATTGGCACCATTATTAGACTAGCAGGGTAGAAGGCAGGTAGATCAGACCCACTAACACTGGGAGATCAAGACCTGGAATATGCTCTCATGGAAATTTATCTCCCACTTGTAAGCTGACAATGATTACAAGAGCAATGAGGTTCAATAAGGATATAGACAGAGACTAGACCTGTATTACATTGGAATGGGAGGTTTTGCTGAGGAAACTCTCTCTTCCAATGCAGGTCAACACCTTCTATACAACTTACAATCTTTGTCTTGAGTGCTGAGATTTTTAGGTGATTTGCCCAGAGGTCACACAACCAGTGTGTATCATCAGCAGAACTTGAACATGACTCTTCTTGGCTTATTTTGCTTTTTTATAGAAGGAGATTTTGTTTCAATTCTTTGTTGGTTTTTGTTTGTTTGTTTGTTTGCTGCTTTTTTTTTTGTGAGGCAATTGGGGTTAAGTGACTTGCTCAGGGTCACTCAGCCAGTAAGTGTTATGTGTCTGAGGCCGGATTTGAAGTCAGGTCCTCCTGACTCCAGGACTGGTACTCTATCCACTGTACCAACTAGCTGCCCTCAATTCTTAATTACATAGCAATAGTATTGATGTTTCTGGATCTACATCAGGACTTAATAACTGTTCTTGTACCATAGACCTTTTTTGGCAGTCTGGTGCCTAGGGACCCATTCTCAGAATAATGGTTTTAAATAATTGAAAGAAATGCTACATTTTAGTTAAAAGTTAATAAAAATTATGATGACATTTTTTCCTTATCCAAGTTTTAAGGCTCCTGAAATCTATAGTCTGTGTGTGGACTGTAGGTTGGGAACCTGTGATCTATATAATGCTTTTTCCTGAAGAATTTAAAAAGTTTTCCATATATCTTCTTTCATTCTCTTTCTCACATAGTAAAGGACTGTTGAGGGCCATGTGTCTTTCACATAGTTAATTATGTATTATGTATGTAGTATTATGTACATAGTATTATGTATGTCTTGGGATAAAAATATCAAAATTTAGGATTTTAAAATAATTTTTCTCAAAACAAAATATGGCCTAAGTCAAATTGACCTCTAAATCGACCATTTTCTAAAGCATAATTGAATTTAGGATCATAAAATTTTAGAATTAGTTAGCACTTATAGATGATGGGAGTTGGGTGGTGGGGAAGCACAGAGAGGCTGAGTAACTTGCCCCAGATTACACAGCCAGTTAGTGGTCAAGCTAAGATTTTCCTAACTTTCTATTCCATACCGCTCTTACTAATATGTAAGCATTTTTTATAGTGATATAAAGTACCAGCGTTGCTACTTTTATCCTTCTATTTACATACCTGTCCAGAACCATATAAGAGCTTCATATATGAAACATCAAATTTCATATCTTCAAGGAATTGCATTCCTGAACATGATTAGTTGCTATTATCACTCACACATGTATCCCCAAAGCACCTATTTATGAGGTACTAAGTTCATTTTTCCATTATTATTAGTCATCTTCATCTTCATCATCATCATCTTCTTCTTCAGTCTCTTCAATTTTTTCAGATTCAAATAAAGCTTTCTCTTGGGCAACCTGAAAAGCCTGCTCCTCATCCACAGTGGGGTCATCCATCTCCATGATTTCTATCCTCCTGGGGTACTCTGGTTGAACAAGCGGTGGAAGTGGAGGTGTATAATTGTCTGGACTGTATTTATGACCCCAACCTATGTAAAGATTCTCAAACTTTCTGTAAACAAAAGGATGATTACCATGTAAGTTTTTAGAAAGAAAAATAAAACCTGAATGGGTTATAACAATGAACAAACATTGGAGAGGTTTACATTTCTGTAGCCCTAAACACAACTTCAGTTAGAAATGGTAGAGGTGAAATGTCCCTCAGGATCTATCCTATCAGAGGAAACTTCCTTACTATAAGTACTAAAGCTGATGGCTGTCAATATTAGTAATAATTATATCTGGAACATAAATAAAGGGCTTTTGTGAACCAAGGAAATCCCAGGAAAATTAAAACTAGATGTTAAAGATCTGTTTCAATATCTTTAATATCTAGTCTTAATTTCCCCAGGAATTTCTTGGTTCACAAAATACGATTTGTCATTTACATTTTTTGTGACTTTTAAATGTTGTTTAAAGAGATCATTTAACTAAATATTCTCATAGCTAAACTGAAAGATTCCATTAGTCTTCTCAAAGTCTTGGCTGTGTGTTGGTAAAGTCATTAGGAAAGAGTAGTAAAGGTATATGTTCTAAGTAGGGAAAAGGACATTTATTCTCCTTTTGATCATAATTCCCTTCATTTATATCTTAACTACAAGTTAAATAAATTAGCAGAGTCTTCCCTTACCCATTATAGATCCCTCATCCCATGCCAATGAAAAAAAACAAAACCCTAAATGTAAAATGATTTAAGTACTATTTAGATTTTCCTTCACTAGAAAAATAAAGTGAATAATAGAAGCAATTAACAAGAGAATTTGACAAGGTGGAGAATTTTTGGTCTCAATACATTCAGAGGATGACTGTGACAGAGAAAGGTGATTGAATTATTCTGATAATTTCCTACATTATCTGCTTTGTTTTCCTTAGGGTCTGGATATTGTGTAAAATCTTTGTAAATTATTAAGGGGTATCTTATAATGACTGTACAGCTGTCAGTACTTACTTGCCATCAGAAAAGACATATGCTCCAAGCCAAAGGTTAGATCGAAGGAATGCAATAGCATATTGAGGAATCAAATTTGAAGATAACTGGGCTGTCCAAGGAGGTATGTTCTGAATTTCTGTAAACCAAAGATAGATAAGATAGATAATTTTTACTTTTGACAGCCAAAACTGAATAGTGGAAAGAGAAGAAAAATCAAACTAAGACCATAAGTTACAGACAATTTGCTAATGCCATTGTTGGAGGGAGTTTCCATATAATTAATTTTCTATACCTAAGAAATCATAGTCCTGGCCCTCCCCAAATAATGTTTTTAACTCTTAGGCACATGTAGGATGTGCATTATGGATAGATATAACATCTCATTTTCCACAAATCTGCTAAAATACATGAGGCAAGATGAGACAGAAGCAGGAGAACAATTGCTTAAGGTCAGGAGCTATTAAATAAGAGGTCAAGTCCTATAAATGAAAGCAAAGGCCACTGACTCCAAATCTACATTAAGTAGTAAACAAAAACAAAGGAAGAATAAATATAAAAATGATGAGAAATGTGTTAGAAATCTAAAAGTCAATATTATGAATCAACCAACAAACATTTATTAAGTGCCTACTATGTGCCAGGTATTGTACTAAGATGCTGAGGATGTAAAGACAATAGTTAAACAGTTCCTATCCTTACAGAGTTTCTAGTTCCTATACTTACAGAGTTTCTATCAGGGGCGATAACGTGTATACGCACACATATATACATATACACACACAGACATATACACATATATATGTATGTGTGTATGTATATGTATATATATATATATATATACACATACACACACACACACACACACACACACATATATATATATATATACATATATATATATATACATATATATATATAATATATATATATATATATATATAATATATATATATATACATATATATATATATATATATATATATGGAGAGAGAAAGAGAGAGAGTAAATATAAGATTTGAGGGTGGGAGTGGGGGTAGGGAGGAGGGTAGCACTAACAGCCAAGGAGGGATTAGGAGAGGCTTCACGTAGGAGGTGTTGTTTGAATTGACATTTGAAGACAAGTTTGAATTCTATAGGAAGAGATGAAGGAGTGCCATTATAGGCATGAAGGACTTTACAAAGGCACAGAGACAGAAAATGGGGTAATGGTGTGTATGGAACAGCAAGAAGGCCAGTTTGCCTGGACCATGGCAAATGTGAAAAGTAGTAGCATATAACAAGCCTTGAAAAGTAGGTTGCAGCCCAGTTATGAAGAGGTTTGGACGCCAAACAGAGGAGTTTATAATTGACCTTGGAGGTAATAAGAAACCATGGGAATTTACTGAGCAGAAAATTGGCAACAGTGTAGATGATGGACTAGTAAGAAGAGAAGCTTGAGGAGGGAAAACCAATTAGGAGGCTGTTGCAATAGCATAGAGGAGAGGTTATATGGGTCTGGACTAAGGCAGTACTATGTAAAAATATGCAAACGTATTCTGTACTTTATTGAGTTGACAACCTATACCATGCATACCAAAGGTGCCACATGGGCCAATTCTCATCCCTATGAGACATTTGTGAGAACCACATCTAATACAACTTTTTCATGATTCTAACCAGTCATCAGTCAACAAAGCTTTGCTGCATTCCAATCTCCCATTGCAGCCCAGGTACCTCAGAAGAAAATAATAACTAAAAATTTATATAGTGCCTTATGGTTACTTTAAAATACTTTATACCAAGCCATGCAACTACCCTGTGAGGGAGGTGATGCAATTATTATCCATTTTTCAGGTGAAAAAACTGAATCCCAGAGAAGCTAAATAACTTGTCTAAAGTCATATAGTTAATAAGTGGCAAAAGAGGGGTTTCACATCTGGATCACCTAACTCCACATCCAGTGCTCCTTCCACTTCACCTCAAGCTATGACAGAAAAAAGGTGAGAATGCTGGCACTTTACTTTTCAAGGGCTAATATCTCTTTGTGTGTGTGTATATGCACGTGCATGTATCATATGTGTGTATTCTAGATATTTTACAGTATTTTTATAATTATGAAGCCATGTGTGTATAAAAATACCTAAATCTTCAGAGATTGGAGTCAAAAGAGGTGGCCCCGTTTCTTGTTCAATGTTATCTGACTCCTCTCTTTTTTCTTCTACTTCTTCATCTTCAACTTCTTCCTCTTCCTCTTCCTCTTCCCCTACTTCATTTTTTTGTATGGGGTTAAACCAGTTACACCGGCCCTATGGAACAAAAGTGAGAAGGCTAATAAGAATCTTCAATCTATGATAGCAGTTCTGTGATAATAATAATAATTCACAACTATTATGATACATTTTAGAATTTATCATTTCCTAATAGTAACTCTGTGAGGCAAATAGTGCAAGAATTATTATTCCCATTTTTCAGATAAGGAAACTGGAGACTCAAAGAGCTGTGACTTGCTGCTCATCACGTAACTAGTAAAAGCTGAAGCTAGAGCTCAAAGTCAGGTTCTTCGATGGGAAGCCCAATATTACTTCTGCAGCACTACAAACAAGCTTATGTTAAAACAGACCTAATTAAATTACGATAATTCTAGTAAAAATCATACTTTGAAGAGGAATGTTATTCAACTGTACAGATAACTCAAACAAAAGTAGATTGTAACTATTGTTTCTATTCTTGTTTTACAGTGATTTTCAAACCTCCTGAAGTCAAGGAATGTGTGTGTGTGTATGTGTATTTCTATATGTATGTTATCCCAAAAATCTTAGTGCAGTTTTAGTGATTAATGCTCTATATATGTATATGTGTGCATATATATATATTACATATTTACATATATATATATGTATATATGACTTTTGAGATACCCTGTATTTTTAACCATTTTATCATCAATGATCCGCATGAAGAGGTCATTAGAAATGATATAATAAGAATAAACGAGTAAATATTAAGACAATAATTTTGTAATGTGTCAAAGGTACATTCTGCTTTTGGTACCTACTGGCTTTGTGACTCTAGATAAGTTATTTAAAATCTTAGCATCCCAGTGAACTCTCCAAAAAAATGTGTTGTAGAACAGGTGCCAATCTTTGTTTGATGTAATTTCTCCATGTGGTATTCCTCATCTTGACACAGTGAAAAAGAGGGGAGAGAGAGGGAAGTGGGGGCAGAGAGAAGAAAGAAAGGAAAGGAGAAGAGGAAAGAAAGAGAAGAGAATAAATGAGAAGATATGAGAAAAGATAAGATGAGATGGGGATAGCTATAGTGAAAGCTGTAGTTTCTCACTTTTCTTTTATGTAATTCATTATCTTTTTTTGTTTTTCCTTCTGTGGGTTATGCTAAAATAATTGTAGTATGCTTTCAACGTACAACTGGCAATAATTATATGTTCTCTGACATAGTTTTTGAATACACTTGGGAATAAGTGTACCACTATGGTGAAATAGGAATGTGATTCAAAGAACAGGAACAAGATCCTAAAAATAATATGCTTCCATAAAATTAAAATATGAAAAAAAAGGTAATTTCCCAAACTCACCTAAATCCTACTTTATTTGAAGTAGTTCACAGAACACTACTAGCAAGTGGCACACTTGAGGTAGTTAGGTGGCATGATGGATCCCTATACTATCCCTGGGGTCGAGAAGAGTTAAATTCAGATTTGTCCTCAGACCTGTTAGCTGTGTGACCCTGGGCAAATAACTTCTATCTGCCTTAGTTTCCCTAACTGTAAAATGGGCATAATAATAGTATCTCTCTCAAGGAGGAAAAAAAATCAAACGAGATAATATTCATTTATTTTTAGGCAGGGTCCACAGGGTCCAGGGTCACACAGCTAGTAAGTGTCAAGTGTTTGGTCTGAGGTTGTATTTGAACTCAGGTCCTCCTGACTTCAGGGCTGGTGCTCTATCCACTGCACCACCTAGCTGCCTCTGAGATAATATTTATAAAGCACTTAGTACAATGCTTGGAACATAGCAGTTATTAACAAATGCTTATTTCCCTTCTTCCTCCACAGTTTGAAAGTTTCTAATTGATGACGTTTATTTGGCATTCTGACTTGTATTTTTAGTTGATATTTTTGTTCCTTATAAAGCGCTTTCACTAAATTGTAAACTGCTTAAGGGACTATTATCTTATACTTGTCTCCCACATAGTAGAAAGTAAATAAATAATGACTGATTGATAGATTGAGAACTGCAAGGAGCATACCTGAGGTAGAATATGTTGCACATGATGAACCCAGTTGGACAGGGATTCTACTAGCTCAGTGACTTGGATGCCTTCAAAATCAGGATTTTTCTCATAATTATCCTGTCCCCCTTCTACCTCTTCTTCCTCTTCACCTTCTTCTCCAAAATGATAGAAACCAAGAGGGCTAATGTGAGTTCCTGCTGAAATTCGAGCAATTTGTGCCCGCAAGTAATTACTCTCGTTTCCCGGAAAGGGGGGATAACTCATGATAGGAGCATCTAATCGTCCAGTGAAATATTTCTTGATGTTCCTTGCAATAACAATTTGTGCTGGTGTCACTGATGGTAACCTTACCCAAGGCCTTCCAGGCTCATTGCACACAAAGTAGGTATATTTGTTGGCACCTGTTCTGTTTTCTTCTTTTGGTATCACTTGTGGGCTCTTGTAAGAAGACTTAGGTAATTCATCTTCCTCATCTTCATCTGCCTCACTTTCTTCAATGTTATCTTCCTCTTCTATCTCCTCTTCATCTTCCCCTTCACGGAATTCCACTTCAGCCACAATGTAATTCATCTCTAGACCCAAGATTTTCCCCCAGAAGCGGCATGTGTGTATTGGTTGTGTGTCAGTGAGCTGTTTGAGGGCAAGAAAAATGCGGTAGGTTTCATCTGTACTCAACCCAACTCCGGCTTGTTCAAAATAGAAAGCTGATTCCATTATATTTGGAAAAGGGGTTTCTGCCTTAAGAGAGAAATACATTAGAATGTCAAATACAAGCAGGGGTGTTGCAAAACTTAAATGGGGTAATGGATGTTGCAAACCTTAAAGTGTTATATGAATGTCAGTTATTATTATTACTATTAATTATTGTCATTATTATTATCATGCAGGCACCAGTCCTCCAGTCTGGTAATAGCTTCATTCCTTGAGCCTTTTACTGCATTTCTGATGAACTCAAGCAGTGTTTATCGAGCAATACAGGAGTATGCTAATAAATGTTTAACAAGGCTCTCTAGGGGGAAAATGTATGCACGCACATTTTTCAATTTAGTCTATATTATTAACACTTTCTTAAGTCTAGAAAATCAACAAAACTATAAATCAAGCCCTGATTTATAGCAATTGTCTATTTCTAAGGTAATATTCTCACACTGAAAATTTATCATCTCTCACAAGCCAATAGAACTAGCTCCTGCACACCACTGAACACAAGAATCTATTTATATTCCTTTCTTCACCTGCATTCCCTTGAATGCTTTACTAATTCTGATCACAGTACCTTTGTTCATGTTATTGCTCACACCCACAATACTGTTCCACCAACCTCGCAGTCAGTTTATCTTCTCAATTCTTTTGAGACCCAGCTGAATATCATCCTGTAGGGATGAGTCCCTGGCTCAGTAACATCTTTATCACTTCTTTATTTTACATTCTCTTTTATTACTAACATATGAGGCTTTTATCCTATCATCTTATACTTACTTTACTATTTCAAGGATTTCTGACTTCTTATAGGTATTCCCTTGCAGGGACACAGATCACAACTCTTGTATACTCAAGTAATAGTCTTTGTGAGTGGCTGTGGCATAAAAATTCATCAATTTGTGACTAAGTTGATGAGCCTTTCTATACTTATGGATTGGTCCTCAGATGACAGACCCAGATGTACCATCTTACATCGTATTTGGACTGGACCTGTGATTTCATGGCTATCGAGAAGTCCTGGTAAGGAACTTCCTCTACCAATAAACATTTTGTATTTATTGACCCATTAATAAATAAATCATACCAGACTAACTTCATTTCCTTCTTTTACAAGACTTAGAGGAATATCATAGACACAGCACATCTAGATTTCAAGAAAGCATTTGAAAAACTCTCTCTCATTGTCGGGCATGGTGCCATACACTTGTGTCATAATCCTTGCTTCTAAGGGAGGCTGAAGCTGATGAATCATTTTAAGTTGGGGGTTCTGAGCTGCAGTAGGGCTAAAGCTGATCAGGTGTCTTCAATAAGTCTGACACCAATATGGTGAGTCCCTGGGAGTGTCAGGCCACCAGGCTGTTTAGAAGGGGCAAACTGGTTCAGGTTGGAAAAACAACACAAGTTAAAGCTTCCATACTGACCAGCAGGTCCTGCATTTCTAGCCTAGGGGAAATAGAGAGAGAGAGAGAGAGAGAGAGAGAGAGAGAGAGAGAGAGAGAGAGAGAGAGAGAGAGAGAGAGAGAGAGAGAGACAGAGACAGAGACAGAGAGACAGAGAGACAAAGAGAGAGAGACAGAGGCAGACAGAGAGACAGAGAAGGAAGAAAGAGAAAAAGAAATAGAAGAAGGAAGAAAGAGAAGGAAGAAAATAAAAAAAAAACAAAAAAGAGAATAGATAATCTCCCTTGTTAACTAGTAGAAAAGATGTGAACTAAATGAACATACAATTAATTACGAAAGAACTAATTGAATGACTGGATTCATGCAGAGAGTAGTCAGTAAAGGCTTGATTATAACTTGGAGGGAGATCACAAGTGGAATATCTATCTTTGGTCCTGTTCTGTTCTTTCTTTTTATCATAGCCTTGGGTAATGATATCAAATTTATAGGCTACATGTAGCTGGGATGAATACCCAAAATATTGGATGAAAATCAGGAGGCAAAAAGATCTCAATAGGCTAGAATCATGGGATGAATCTAAGAAAATGAAATTTAACAAGTATAATGTCCTACCTGTGGGCCCATAAAAATGTACTAGTGAGTTACATGGGAGACAACAGTTTATCTGAAAAAGGCCTGAGTTTTTGTTCATGGGCTACAAACTTAAAGTGTGCCAGCTTTCAAAAAGAGAGTGTGCAATATGGTAGCCAAAAATGCTAACATGATCATAGGTTATGTTAAGAGATTCCTAAGGTTCAGAATGAGGGATGTGATGTTTCCACTGTTCTCTATCTTGATCTGACTGCATCTAGGACATTGTACTAAGTTCTAGGTGCCACATTTTAGGAAGGACATTGTTAAGCTGATGAGCATCCTGAGGAGGGTGACCAGGATGATAAGGACTGGGACTATACCATGTTTAAAATAAGAAGCATTTATCAATTGTCTAGGAGCAACTAGGTGGCACAGTAGATAGAATGCTAGGCCTGGAGTCAGAACGTCTCATCTTCCTGAGTTCAAATCTGGCCTCAGACACTTCACAGCTATGTGACCCTGGGCAAGTCACTTAACCCTGTTTGCCTCAGTTTCCTCATCTGTAAAGTAGGCTAGAGAAGGAAAGGGCAAACCACTCCAATATCTTTGAAAGAAAACCCCAAATGGGGTCATGAAGAGTCGGACATGACTGAACAACAAATTAAGTGTCTGTTGTGTACTATTCACTAGGAACACAAAGACAAAAAGAAAAACAACTTTTAGTCATAAGAGTTTACTTTCTACATGGGGGAGGGCAATATGTACACAAACTAGTAATATAAAATACATACAAAGTAAATAAAAATTCATATGGAGTCTGTGGGGGAAGGGGTCAAGAGCTCTGCCACCTGCAAGGATCAGGAAAGGATTCCTACAGGCATGATTTTTTATACTTCATAAGGGTGTAATTACATTAAGATGTAATTTTTCACATTTCATGTAGCAGGTGGCACTTGTTCGGAGCCTGTGACAAAGTCAGGGATCGTAAGGAACAGAGGAGAAAAGGGAGTGCATTCCAGGCACTTGAAACAGTTTTTGAAAAGGAACAGAGTTGGAGAATTGAACAGGGCATATACAGAACAAGTAGCCTTCTTTGGCTTAGAATGATTGATTGATTGTTGCCCTTCATTCTCGTAGAGGACCAAAATAGCATCATTACATTAGAGTCAAGTTACAGTATGTATGACTGTGGCCAGTCAGAACAATATGAGTTCAGAGGGCTCTACCTAGCACAGGTCGGGCACAAATAGTCCATGTGAACAGTGGTAGGCTAATTGTCCTCTGGTATTTCAAGAGCTGTCATATGGAAGAGATACTAGGCTTGTTTTGCTTGGCTCCAGAGAGCAGAACTGATTGCTATCTATGGAAGTTGAGGAGGGGCAGATTTAGGCTTGTTGTTTCAAATAGCTTCCTAGCAATTAGAACTATCTAAAAGTAGGATGGGCTGCCTTGGGAGGCAGTGGGTTCCTCCTCACTGGAGGTCTTCAAGCAGAGGCTATCACTTTTGGGGACCATTGTAATGATAATTCCCATTAAGGTGTTGGTTGGACTAGGCCTCTGAGAATCTATAATTCTATGACTACTTTTTGGATTCAGTCATGCATCTACTACCAAATCTGCAACTACATTAATGGTTATTCCTTTTTTGTGTCCTTCAAAGCACTAGAAAGCATTCTATAAGTCATTAATGAATAAGGGAATGAAAATTATCATCAGATCAAGTCAAGCATCCAAAGTCCTCCAAAATTGGACACCATTTTACCTAATATGGCTTTGTACTCTTTCTATTCCAAGTAAGCCTGTCTCTTTATACTCTCCCTTGCCCCTCCAATGCTTGTGCCCTGCATACACACACACACACACACACACACATACACATAGAGAGAGGAGACAAAGGAAGTAATAATAGTATTGAGATTTGAAGATTGCCAACAAATAAACATCCCAATAGCATGGTTTAATGGAAAGAACATTGGAACCTTCTCCAAAGACATAGTAATGGACTGATTCAATTTCTAGTGTTGCCATATACTAGTCATATGAACTTAACTCAGTAATAACCTTCATCTCAATTTCTTTACCTGTATAATGAGGATAATAATATTTCCTATTGCAATGAATTGTAATGAAGATTTAATATGATACAATATATGAAAGTACTTTGTAATTTCTAATGTAATATAAATATAAAGTTTTATTGTTACATGAAAGGCAGCATAGCATAATGGATAAAAAAAAAAACCTTGTAGTCAGGAAGACCTGGATTCAAGTCCTCTCTCTGATAAATATTACCTATGTGAGCCTGAGTAAATTGCTTAACTTCTCAGTATCCCATCCAGTTTTCTCAAACTATAAATCACAGACAAGGCACAGGGGAATTAAACAGAGGTTCCTAGTACCAATGGAATCACAAATCCGTCTTCTTTTCTCCCACTAAAATATATATTATATGCAAATATGCTAACCAGAACTTCACCACTGAGAATTTATATATAAGATTAGTTCATCTTGAATCCTCCAAGGATATTTATTTTGTAACACCCCAAAAGAACATTCGAATATATGCTGCCTCATTTAGAAAGCAAGTCTTTGGCATCGATACTTCAAGATATTTTATAGCTGATAAAGAGAATTACAGATACTTAAATATGGTTCTTAAAAGAAATCTTAGTGTACATTTAATATGAGAATATTAAAGTGTTTAATCAGAAATTAAGTAAGTATTTTGGTGGATTGTTATTAAAGAAGAGTATGAAGAATTATGAATTATCTGACTCAGGGGATTCTAATCTTTTTTTGTGTCATGAACTCCTTTGTCGGTCTGGTGAAGTCTATGAACCAACCTCTTCTCAGAATCATGTTTTTAAATAACTGAAGGAAATTATGGATTTTTATGAGAAGTTAGAGAAAATAAATATATATTTTCCCCATTCAAATTCATGGACTCCCTGAAATCTATCCATAGGCATCTTGCCTTCTGTAGACCTCTTACTCCCCGGTTAAAAATCCCTAATCTAAATAAAGATTCAAATTAGCCACAAGGCCAGGAACATAAATGACATTTTTATTCTTCTAGGATAGCATCTGCTTAAACTAGCAAATTTATAAACAGATAGGCTCAAGATGGCATCTAAGAATAGTCTCATTGAAGCTTACTACGGAAGCATCTGGGAAATAGAATAATAAGTGCATGCTACATACACAGGCAGCGAGGAAATAGAATAATGGAAATTATTTGGAAATTTGCACATCAGAAATTTCTGAGTTACTACAACACATATTCAATAATTAGAGTATACTATCCTTACCTCTCATACTAGCTTACTCTGATCTGTGAAGAATCGTTCACAGATTCTCATAGCATGTAAAAGAAGGATCTCATTTTTCCACTGTCTTGTCAGCCCTTCCTAAATCATCTCACATTCTCATCTCTTAACAACTTGTGTAGAAAAAATATATATAAGAGTAATATAAGCAGGCCAGTCTAGGTAAGGATTCAAAGGAAGCCCAAGTAAAGGCAGTCATTTAAAGACAGCCTTTTTTTTTTTTTTTTGCTTTTAGGCAATTGAGGTTAAGTGACTTGCCCCAGGTCACACAGCTAGGAAATGTCAAGTGTTCAGTCTGAGGACAGATTTGAACTCAGGTCCTCCTGACTTCAGGGCCAGTGCTCTATCCACTGCACCACCTAGCTGCCCCCTAAAGACAGACTTTCAACTGTTCTACATTTGTTCATACAATAAACATTTATTAAGCATCAACTAAAATAATAACATTTACATAACACTTTTATACTTTATGAAGTACTTTCATAATGTCTCATTCCCTTATTTGATCTCTTCAATAACCCTATAAATAGGTAGCATAAGTATCATGTCTATTTTCTAAATAAAGAAAATAAAAAAAGAAAAGAAAGACTAATTGACTGACTTGTACAAGATTACATAGTTAGCAGGTAGAAGAACCTAGGCTCAAATCCATCACATTTAGGTTTCTTCCATTATACTATTACTGGGCCTGGAGTGAGGAGGACCTGAATTCAAATCCAGCCTCAGACACTGGGGCAAGTCACTTAATATTGTTTGCCTCAATTTCCTCATCTGTAACATGAGCTAGAGAAGGAAATGACAAACCACACCAGGATCTTTGCCAAGAAAACCCCAACATGGGGTCATGAAGAGTTGGACAAGATTGAAACGGCTGAAAAACAACAACCTCTCTGTAGTAGGTTATATGATTGATGTATTTTTACATAAAATGACCAAAATATTGTCCCTGCCACAGGGGTAGGAACTGGACCTCTGATTTCATTGATATAGAGATCTCCTAGATAAGAAATCTCTCTCTCTATGAATAATTTGGTACTTCCTTTCCAGCTTATAGTCTTACAGAGTTACAGTACCATGGAGCGCTGAAAGGTTAAATCACTTGCCCAGGATCATGCAGTCAGTGGGTTTCCTGGCTTCAAGGCCAGCTCTTTATTTACTATATCATGCTGCTTCTCTCCTCTGCCACAAAATACTTTAAAAATACATTTAAGTAGATAAGGCAACAATATAAGGAGACTCTAGAAAATCTAAAATGTTAAAGTACAACTTTACAAATTTGATGGAGATGGGGTGCTTGAGCTTGGACCCCATTATCTCTCCCTTATCTCTCCCCAGGCCAAAGATCCTGTCTTTAGCAATAACTCATGAGTGGACCCAGTGCAGCAAACTATCTCTCCTTGCTACAGGAACAAGCTGAGCTCTGTAGAATTTCCCTAGTATGAACAGGACTATCTTGTACCAGCAGAACTATCATGTACTGATTCTCACAGTTACTATATATAAAAGCCAAAGATCAAGTCATAGATGTCAAGTCCCAAGGCTATCTTGTTACAGACATAGATGTACATTGCTGGTGGAGCTGTGAAATGATCCAACCATTTTGGAGAACAATTTGGAACTATGCCCAAAGGGCTACAAAAATGTGCATACCCTTTGATCCAGCAACAGCACTTCTAGGGCTATATCCCAAAGAGATCAAACAAATGGGAAAAGGACCCACATGTACAAAAATATACATAGCAGGTCTTTTTGTGGTGGCAAAGAATTGGAAATTGAGAGGATACCCATCAATTGGGGAACAGCTGAGCAAGTTGTGGTATATGAATGTAATGGAATACTATTGTGCTATAAGAAATTATGAACAGTCTAACTTCAGAAAAACCTGGAAAGACTTACATGGTCTGATGCTGAGTGAAGTGAGCAGAACCAGGAGGACTTTGTACACAATAACAGCCACGTTATGCAATAACTAAGATTGTTAAACTGAACCTTTCTCAGCATTATGAGGATCTAAGACATTTCCAGAGGCCTCGGGATGGATGATGCTGTTCACATCCAAAGAAAGACCTATGGAAGTCGAATCACTATCACTTATTTTTACCTTCTGTTGAGTTTTGTTTCATCTTTCTGATGGTTCCTTGTATTGGTTTTAATTTTTACTTACAAATTCACTAATGTGAAAATATGTTTAATGGGAATGTAAATGTAAAGCCTATATCAGACTGTGCACCGTCTTGGGGAGGGTGGGGGGGAGGAAAAGGGAGAAAAATTTTCAACTCAAAAGCATATGGAAAAAATAAAAATTTAAATTTGAAAATAAATAAATAAATAAGCAAAGAAATAAATACAGACATAGATGTACAGACATACAGAACCTTAGAAGTCCCCCCCACCCCTCCAGGCAATGCCAGTAATGAATGACATCTGAGCCCAAGGTACAGAAACTGTATGTTCACCACCTAATTAGCATACTTGGCACACACTCACTGAACTTTTTCTATATAAGCTTTAGCATCGCTCCTGTTAGGTTGCAAGTTCCCTAAAGGAGCTCAGCCTGCCTTTATTTGTGTTATAATAAACTTTTTGCCACTTGACTGGAAGACTACTTGAGTCTGTGAATTCTTTCCAGACAACTCTGCCCTGAACCTTGGTATTTTGGGGTCCCTGCACTCCTAAAACTGCATCAATGGGAAATCTAAAGCAAAGGAATGATTAGTGTTTAGGTTAATTAATTAATTAATGATTAGGTAAGACAAGTTGGAAAATGTTACTTGAAGAACACTTGACAAAGACAAAGGTAAAAATAGTTCATAGAGAACTATGAAATCAGAAGGTATGAATTTTAAATTTAAAAAAATTGACCATAGTGACTTACTATTTCATCTTCCTGTTCTTGATCACCTTCTAAATTTCCTTGGAGAAAAAGTGCTTTTTGCTTCTCTGCTAGTTCATATGCCAAAGGTACCTCATGTTCATCTTGGAGTGTGTCCAGTTTCTTATTAAAGTGAGCCTTTTTCACATCTTGACTGATATTTTCAATGATGTCAACGACATTTTCAGGACGTTGATCTAAAATTCTAGTCAGTATCTCACAAAAATGATCGTAACTACCCAAACAGAGAAAATTCCAGAAAAGGGCATTAGACTTTCTAAGTGTAGCAAATAAAACTGATGAAAATGCAAAGACTCAGGCACCCAAGAAGCCTGAAAACTTTCAGGCTTACTGAGATATTAATTGCTTATACACTGACGACACCTTCTGTCTCCTCAGAAAGTCGCTGGCACTTTCAGAGGGAGAAGGCACCTTAACATAGGTGCCACAGGGTTCTTTCCTGGGCCTTCTTCACTTCTTCCTCTATATTACTTCATTTGGTTTTCTCATCAGCTACTTATCCTGCTCCAATTTCATCAGCTCTCATGGATTTAATTACCATCTCTATACTGATGATTCTCAAATCTACTTATTCTGCTCCAGTCTCTCTGCTGACCTCCAATCTCATCCCATCTCCAATTGCCATTCATCTCAAGCTGGATGTCCAGCAATATTTTAAACTCAACATATTGAAAACTCACCCCTCCTATCTTCCCTATTACTGCAGATGGCAACACCATCCTTCCAGTCCCCCAGGCTCATAACTTTAATAACAATTTTTTGAGAGTTTCTTTAGTATGAATCTGTTCTTCAAGGAATGATTACCTCAACATTGACTGACAAAATTGAGTATCTTAACCTGCAGGTGTGAGAATTTAACCCTAGACCTGAGATCATCTGAAAAAGGTGTCACTCAATAGGTCCAGAACTATCTGCCTTCTCTTTGATACCATATCATAACTACTATACATCATCTTAGATCCTTTGCTCTAGCCAAAAAAGTCTGCTCTCCATCACCGCTATTCAACTTGATAATTTTCTGCCTTTAAATCTCCCTTAGCTATTTCTAATTCTCCTTATAGTATCTATAATATTGCCTTCCACGATATGGCTTAAGATTCACTTCTTTCCAGAGTGTTTCCCTGATTTACGTCTCTTGGTTCTACCAATAGATCACCAGGCCAACTGTATCCTTGAATCTCTTGCTCACTTGTCCTATTGTTGTTCACATCTCGACAACTTCCAACCTTGGTTTACTTCTACTATTGCTTTCCCTATTACCTGACTGCTGCTGCTCACCATCTAAAGAAGTCAAACAACCATACTAATTAAGTCCACTTAAATTTTGTGTTATTTATCTCACTTTGTCATCCTCTTCCTTCTGATCAGAGGACCTACTTGTTTAACCACTCCTCCATTTCCTTTGTTGGGTCCTTATCCATGCCCAAGTCTTTAACCAAGGGTGATCAGCAAGGTTTTTTCCTAGATCCTCTTCTCTTTCTACATTCTATTTCTTGGTGACCTCATTAATACCCATTGGTTCAATAATCATCTGTATTCAGGTGACTCCCAAATATACATATCCAATCTTTCATACCTCTCATCTTTTGTACTCATTCACTTGCCTGGTCTTGGCTGTTTTACCTTCACAATATCTTTCCCATTTCTCCCCTTCTTTGCAATCACAACCAAGTGCACTAGTTCAGGTTCTTATCGATAATTGCTTGGATTATGGCAATAGCTTCTTATTTGGTCTCCCTATATCTAATGTCTCCCTTCTTTGATCCATCCTCCATACAGCAGCCAAAGTGACATTCTTAATGCACAGGTCTGGCCATGTTACTCCTGTACTCAAAAGTGATAATTGCTTTAGAATAAAATATGAATTCTTCTGTTTGGTATTTAAAGCCTTCCACAGTCTGGCTCCCACCTACCTTTCCATTGTTATTACCTATTACTCTCGTTCACATATTCTATAGCCAAACTGCCATACTATAAATTCCTTATATGTAATATTCTATTTCTTTCCTGAATGCTTTTGTCCATCCCATTGTTTGCATGCTCTTGCTTTTTATCTTAGCCTCTCAGAAGCCCTAGCTTCTTTTTTAGGCTCAGATCAGGTGTCAATTCCTACATGAAAACTTTCCTGTTCCCTTGAGTTGTTCTTGAGTGTTCTTTCCTGAAATTATATATTTTTAAAATATACTTTACATTTATGAATGTTTACATGTTGTATATCTTCTCTTTAGCATTCAAAGCCCTTCATAATCTAGCCCCTCCCCTCCCTTTTTTAGCCTCTTTTCACCTTCCACTTCCATCCAGTACTCACTGTGCCTCAAACAAGACACTCCACCTCTCAGTTCCAGGCATTTTCACTTAACTATCCCCCATGCCTGCAATGCTCTCCCTCATCTCTGCTTTCTGGCTTCAAGTCCCAGCTAAAATCCTACCTTCTACAGAAAGCCTTTCCCTATCCCTTAATTTTAGTGCCTTTCCTCTGTTAATTATCTCCTATTTGTTCTGTATACAGCTTGTTTTTACATAGTTGTTTGCATGTTGTCTGCCCCATTAGATTTCCTCAATGACAATGACTGACTTTTGTCTTTCTTTGAATCTCCAGTACTTAGAAAATGCCTGGCACATAATAGGTGCTTAATAAATGCTTACTGACTACATACACACACACACACACACACACACACACACATGTATGTATGTATGCATATACACGCATATATAGAGACCAAATATATATTTCACACACATCTAGATGTATGTCTGTCTATATGTGTGTCACATACATACATACATACATACATACATATATATATATATATATTTCATATGAATTCTCCTCAAATGAACTGTCAAATTTTCTAAGGCAGAGATGTTTTATTTTGTACAAATCCACTTCCTTAATATACTTCTACACAAAGTATGGTAAGGACCATATTGCTTATTCATGAATTACTTTCCTATTTATGCTGGTTACTATTATGCTTTGGGATATTTATATTAATGAACTTTTTAAAATCAAGAAAAGAGTTTGCATATCTTGAATAGGTATCAAGAGTAAAAAGCACATTATTCTCATATACAAGGGACACCAATAGGAAAGGTGAGTTTTCATTAATCTATAATTACTTAAATAACCACTATGTACTAAACACTGTACTAGGCACTGGGATTCAAAGACAAAAATGAAACAAACTCTAACTTCAAAGAGTTTATATTCCATTGATTTTCATGTTCCATAGATTTACATATGTTGGATACTATCCTCAGCATTGTATAAGTAGTACTCACTTTTTGGGGATAATTTTTGCATATAAAAACTGGCATCATTTTTATTCATGTTTATCAAGATGCTTATTTTGAGGCTATGCTTAAATTTTCTTTTAATGTGAATGATGCCCCTTCTACATCATTGGCCAGTCTCCAATTCTGGCTTTTTCCTGTTTCCTGGAATAGATAGATGCTTTTATGACCAGGAGAATTGTTTTGTTTTGTTTTTTACTCTTTATCAAAATCTATGGAAAAGGAAAACTAGTGATAATTAATAAGAAAAGTAATTCTCTAGCCTAAACAAATTCTAGCTTTAAATAATTAAGTAGAAGTAATATTTTAACTATTTTACCCTATTTTTGGGTTTGTGAAAATATAGAATATTCTTTAAATAGAAACAAAATGGGCTATTTTACTACTACTGTCTCTGATATTTAAGTAGACAGATTCAATTCACTACATATGAAAAACAACCAGGCATTCAACAAAATGTTTGTTGATTGATAGGCATAATTGAGAACCATTAATTTATGGAAAGAAATGTTATTACTATGTGCCTAGGCTTCATCAAACTACTAGCCAGATCACCATTTAACACATCCTGGGCTTCCAGTCTTTTGTCACTTTCTTTACTAATATGACTCTTGTGAAGACACACACCCATACATACACACCCAATTACTTAGTTAAATCCCTCTTTCATCACTCAATATCGTTTCTATGTATCTAAGACTCACAGATTTAGGCCAGACTTGCTACTTTTCTTCAGCAGATATGCCTTAGCATTCTGGGCAGCAATCTCTAGTTTACTAGGTGCAGCAGGTTCAGGTGCACCCTTTTGCGTCAGGCCAAGTTCTAGCTGATTGAGATCAGAATTACTGTTGGATTCATCATGATGAAAACTGTCTGCATCTGCTTGTTCTTCTGGTGGATTGATGTTCTGATTCAGGTCCTGGGGAAGATGCTGGGGTTGTTGGGAAAGGTAAGAGGAGGATTCCTCTGATCCAGTTAAGTGGAGAGTTGCTTCCCTTTCATAAGGAACTTGTTCTGAACAGCTAGGATGAGGCTCCCCAGCCACAGAAATTGCATGACTGTCCTGTTCAGGTGTGATAGGTGAAGTAAGGCCCTGTGGACCTGGCCTCAGCTGAGGACCTTCTGAACTTGGTTCTGAAGGGGCAGGGCTAACTGCAGCGTCTGCTGAGGGTGCTCCAGAGGCTCTCTCTCCAGATCCGGGGCTCTGAGGCGGGGTACCATCCCTGGACAGGGGCTCGGGTGCCGACTCCCTTTCCTCCTTAAGGGAGTCAGCTACTTCGGGTTCGGGGTCCTGGGAAGAAGAAGGTGGAGCAACTTCCCCAGGCTGCCAGCCTTCCCTGGCTCCCCCCTCCTCTTGTTTTTCCTGCTTATCTTCCTCTTGGGATTCCTCGGGCTTGGGGGAGGCAAAGACTTCCATGGCTTTTGCGAGAGACGATAGATGTGGACTTGTGGGTACTGTCTTTGTATGAAGGGGTGCTCGCGGGGCGCGAGGACAAGGGGCGCCAGATCTGCTCCAGGGACTCGGGTGGCTTGGGGACCCGTTTCCATAGCAACCTCCGAGGAGGAGGGGCGGGCCGTCTCTAAGGTAAACACAGCGTAGTTTTGCTTAGACTGATAAATGTATAGGGATGGGGAGTGGCCTGGGGAACTGCAGTAATGATTTGATCGTGGTCCTGCCCTTCTCGCCAAATCAGCCAACAGTGTATCTTAAATAACAAATAGGTCCCTCCCAGAAGAAAGATGACTGGGCTGTGTCTTTTGGGAGACATAACTGGTGCATCCATACCAACTTTGTTGGGTAGATGGATGTAGATGGAGGACTTACCTGCACTTGTAAAGGCTTGAGTCTAGACAAGAGGTGGTTAGTTTCAGCTGTGCTATCGCCATCGTATTTCGACTGAACAGACCATAAAATTTATTGACTGCCCCTTATTGACTGCACAGCTGCTTGGTTGTAGATGGAAGAGGGGAGAGTGTGGAAAAGTTAGCAACGGGATAAATAAAGTATGGCTCCTTAATTGCATCCCCATCTCCACAGAGATTAACTCTCAAAAGTCTCTGGGTTTTTGGGTGGAAGTTAGGGGACAGTTTCCTAGTTTGACAACTGAAACTTCTGTAAGATATTTCACGCTTTGCCATTCCTCATTCAACACTCACTTATTAAGCTATTATGTGCAGAAAGCATTGTGTTGGGGAAGGAGGAGAGGGGAGAGAGGAAGATGAAAAGTTCAAGTGATCCCATTTCAACCCATCTCCAGAGATTTCCTCCTCTATCATTTCCATTCTCCCAGTAACCTTCAATATCTCCCTTTCTAGTGACTGCTTCCTTACTGCCTAAAACATGCTCATATCGATCCCATTCTCAAAACACCCTCACTTGATCCACACATCCACACTAGCTATCATCCTACATATCTCCTCCCTTCTATGAGAGATCTCCCATAACTCCTTGAGAAGGCCATTTAAAATTGGTGCCTCTATTTCATTTCCTCTTACTCTCTTTTTAATTCTCAGTGGCCTGGCTTCCAACATCATCATTCATCTGAAATTATATTCTCCAAAGTTGCCAATGATCAATTTGCCAAATCTAATTGCTTTTTCTTAGTTTTCCTCCTTATTGATGCCAGCAGCCTCATATATTGTTTATCAGCCTCTTCTCCTTGATATTTTGTCCCTGTACATTGTCATGAAAGTGCTCTCTCCCGGTTCTTTTCCTACTTGCTTGATTGCTCCTTCTCAGTTTCCTTTGCTGGGTCTTCATCTGAGTCACTTCCATTAACTGGATTTTTCTAAGTCTTTGTATGGGATCTGCTTTTCTTCTCCTTAGTCTATACTATTTTTCTTGGTTGTCTCAAAACTCCCCATGACTCAGTTATCATCTCTCAGATCTACTTATCCACCCTCACTTCTTTTGCATCTCCAACTACCTATTAGATATCTCAAAATGATGTCCTATAGAAATCTTAAACTCAACATGTCCAAAATGGAACTCATTATCTTTCTCCCCAAGCACTCTCCTTTTCCTAACTTCCCTATTATGGTTGAGAGTATCACTATCCTTACAATCATCCAGACCGACAAACTAGCTGTCACCCTCAAATCTTCCTCCTGTCCACTCTCCAGTCTCTTGCCAAGTCCTGTCATTTTTTTACCTTTGAAATATCTCTGGTATATTACCACCTTCTCTTCCCTGACACTGTCCCTACCCTATTATAGGCTCTCATTACCTCATGCCTGGACTATCACAATAGGCTTCTGGCTTGTCTCCCTGCCTCAAGTTTTTCCTCACTCAGGTCCATTCTCCATTTCCAAAACCCACACAAAAGTGACAATATAAAGGCCAAGTAAACAGGATGACTATACACTCAAAGATACTTGGATAAGCCTCAAAGTTATCAGAAAATTATTTTTCTATTTTTTCTATTAAGAGTTTAATATCAAGACTATCTGGTGGTTTTGTTTTCTATTCCTAAATATGAGTTCTTTATGAGTTAAAAGAAAATTCCACAATATTTAATCCAGAAAGATAAGATTACTGTGAAAAACGTCTCAAAACATTAGCAAAGTATTACCTAAAAAGTGTATGCTGATGCAGTGGTACTCCAAAAATTAGTGCATTTATGATATATTAAAAGCCCTGACCTTTCTATTATGAATGTACCTAATCTGTAGCATTCTTGATTAAGAGTAAATGGCCAGGATGATTATTCTGTTTTCAAACTCTCAATTTTATTGGAAGACATGAACATTAGATTCAAATGTATAAAATGATCAAAAATCAGATGCAGTTTAATTAAATAAGTTATGTCTAATTAAAGAGGCTTCCCTTTCCCTTGATTAACTAAAGACAGGGACAGGAAGGAAGTGTGGTGACATTAAATAAAAGTATTAAGTATTCTGTTGCAAATTGGAGATGCTTTCCCCAGTAATTCCCTTTGTCTAAAAGTCTAAACTCTAACAAAAAAATGGAAAAAGACTAAATAACATTAAACAACTAGGAAAGATTACATTTTAACATTGTTTTGTGGACTTAACACAGTACAGAAGGAAATTTCTACCATAATTTTCTTATAGTACCTAAATTTATATCTTCAGTGCTGTTGCTAAGTAATTTTAAAATCCTATGTTTAGAGTATACTCTTAGACTAGGTTTCTTAATCTTCTATATTTAGAAGAAGGGGGGCAGAAAATTTTATTTTTTTGCCTCTGTATCCACAGTACCTAGCACAGGGCCTTGGCACTAAATGTTTGTTAAGTTTTAAACTCAATCATATTTTCATAATTTCAGAAACTATAGGAGGGAAACCAGTATGTTTTCTTTACTAACATCACAAATGTCAATACTATCTACACTATATGGGAGAACTTAACTACGTTTCTTATTTATTATTTCCAACAATTCCTTTTAGTTTACATTAAACACTGAAATGTCCCAATGAATGCATATTTCAAATAATCTTGATAATTATAATTTCTTGTTTAACTTCTTATGATATCTGATTGCAGCCAGTTCTCACTTAATGTAAGTGAACCTCCCTCTCCCCTCTCAGGGTTCTGCATGGCCCTGTCTCTGTACTTCATTGCCTGGAATGGAGGACCCTAGCACAGGACTGCACCAGTGTCTAGCATCTTTGGTACCTCAGCTCTGCAGGAGAGTTGAATTTGCATAATACAAGTTATGTAAAACAAAAACTGCCCATATATCAAAGTTTTTTTTTTTACCTCATTTCATAGCTAATTAGGGGCTCATATTAGGATTAAGGCAGTGTCAACTGCCATTTATGTGAGCTTTCATTATTTGCATTATTTTCAGTTTGTGGTTTCTTTTTAATCCATTTGTTCAGTTTTTTGAAGGTTAGTTTTATTAATGCTAGATGATGTAATCTGCAAATACTAATTACCAAACACATGTTAGCTGCAATATGTTGTGATTTTCTGAGAGCAAACAGACTAGTGATGATGCTATAATCAAATCTTTTTGATGATGAAACTCTTACTCTTCTCATAGAATTCAGAGTTTTCCATATGACACATTGCCATCTGACATAAAGACTAATTAAGGAGTCCAGTGTCATTCTATATAGTGAATATTAATAGAGCTTAAATTTATGTTTTATTTTAGACAAACTATATTATATATATGTATAGATGTGTATATGTATATATTCCATATTTTCTTCCCAAACTTCAATGTGCCTACCAACTTTGAAAATGATTGACTTACAAGAAACATACTTAAAACATGAAGATTCAAACACAATTAAAATGACTAGCTAAAATAAAACTTATTATGAAAATTCAAAACAGGAAAAATAATAGCAATGATTTTGGAGAGTGTTCTCTTTCCACTCCATTCTGCAACTTTCTTCTTGTTCATCCTTCATTTTTGACATGGGTAAGTTCAGTACTTTAAGGCAATAGTAGTAACAGATACTGTAAGGAGAAACAAATAAGGGAACTTAAAATTTTCTTTATGCTTGAAAGCATCCATGAAAAAAATACACATGAAACAGTGTTAATATTCCAAATGGATCTGTAATTTTCATTAATTTGTGCATTCCTCACAATGATATGGATTTCAACCAATCTATTCTTATGTATCCTATGCAATTTATATCTATTTTTTCCTATTACTTCATCCCTGAATAGTAATACACCCAATGTGCAAGGAGTCTTTCTTGAATTCTCTTTGATGGGGTGCTTGGGTGCTTGTACTTGGACCCCGATTTCTCCCTTGCCTCAGAAACACTATCCTTGACAGTTTCTCCCCAGCCCAAGGACACTGTACTTAGCAATTACTCATGAGTGGGCCCCAGCAAGACCCTTATCTCTTTCCTTGGTGCAGTTCCAAACAGCACCTGAAGGAATTATTAGTTTGAACAGGCTTTGCACTGGGTCATAAAGACATTCTTACCCACCCACTGAGCTGTCTATATTACCACCCTACCTTATTATCTACATCCTGGGCTCCTCATTAACTGTATTCTAGACCTAAGACATACATCGATCTTGTCAAATGAGACATTGATTGGTGGCAGACTGAACAACTCTCAGTTACCCTGAACTCTAGTTAACTTAGTGACGTAACAGGCCTAGAACCACACCTCCACGTGGCCCCCCTTGTGGGCTTTTCCCAGTGAACTCTGGGTAAAATGCTTGTGCAGTAGGTACAAGAAGTGCGTGTTCTTTTAAGAACTGACCACTCCTTAACCACTCCCTAATGCCACCCTGAATCACCTAGTTAGCATATTTGGTACATATTTTATTGTATTTTATCCTATATAAACTTTAACTGTACTTCTCTAAGGTTGTAGGATCCCTTAAGAATTCTTGCCCACGTAACAATAAACTTTGCCACCTTGACTTAAAGAATGCTTGAGTCAGTGAATTCATTCCAGATGACCCATCCTGTATTCTGGTCTTTGAGGGGTCACATCCTCTCAACCTCTTAAACCACAAAATCTTGACATAAAATACTAGTGGAGCCTATGTGTCAACCATAAGAAAGTTCTTCATATCAAA